GGTAAACACGAAAACAATACTTAATTCGAAAAATAATAATTTTCTCTTGTGCTTATTTCCATTTCGAGTGAAAATGTTGATTGAAAAGATTCGAAGGTCGGTTTTTAACCAGAAGACGACGGCGCAATCAGCCTGACCAGGAGTTGATTGGCTTTATTGGAACATTTATGCTGACGCAATATCTGTCGATTCCGTTGAAAGGTGCTAAGCTTTAGTCCGTCATTTGACGAATTTCATCACAGCAAGGTATCATCGTTACAACCAAATTCAAGCTAACGAGTCAAGAAAACTCCGCCGTCGTCTTCAGGTGGCATCGACCTTCGAATCTCTTCACCAAACACTTTTATTCAAAATGGAAGTAAGCTCAACAATTATGAAACAAGAGATGCCTCGAAACTCAACTTTTTATTGTATACAATAATTACCTGTTATAATTGCTCATAGATTTAACAATTTGTTATTTTAATATTTACGAAGCCACACTTGCTCACATGCAAGCACACGCCCACAAACAGTAAAGAACTAAACTTACCATAAAAATCACTGACTAAATCATTTCGACATCTATCACTTTACATCTTTATATTCTCAGTTCTGTGAAAGTTCTCTGCACAAATAGTCGCAGCTCGAATAGCTTAAAGCTTGTATAATTATGATATATATCATTCTCAAACAATATAGGCCATATAAATGACGAAATCCTTGCCTATTTTAGCCAGGATTAAAGGAAGATGTTCCGTATACCGCGAACTATTAAAAGTTGCGTTAGCATCAACAATTGCCAAGATTAAGAGAATTAGTATTCAACTTTTGATGAAGTCGATCCATTAATCTTTTCATCAATTACATAAATGCGAAAGAAGATTTATCACAACAGTGTTATGTCAAGATATTCATCTAAATATGAAATGTATTCACCCTATTTCGTTTAAGGTGATGAAGGACAATGATATGAGTAAAGTTGACGTTTTCATTCAATTGCACACATCCTTCCTTTCCCATAAGTTGCTCACATCCAGAGTGGACTGCAATTTCGACCTTGCATAGGTCTTATCAACACCTCCTGCCGGAGTCGAATCATGACAATCAAAATTCTACTTCCAATCTTTCATCACCCTAAACGAAATAGGGTGAATACATTTCATATTACTGATTTACTCGTAGCCTTGAAACTCTACTTGCATGCAAAAAATATTTATCTAAACTCTTATGTATAGCACGTGACGTTAGCAAATGGATAAAGTAGGGAGAAGTTCTGATTTTACCTGTAAACTTCATCAACTATTTGTCAAAATAATGTATCCTCATTCTATTCATAGTAAAGATTTTAATTTTTCAGTACCGAGTCAACGGCGAAAAGAGAATCAAGAAGCAATAAGGTTGCCTCATCTTGGAAGCCCGAAGTTTAATGTCAATCAGCATCACCAGAAAAGTATTTCACTTATCACCTCCTTGGACGCTCTAATTTGGAGTTTCCCAGTATTTTCGGCACAGCAAAACCTTCTTAAATGTAATGAGATTAACAATGTCGTTTCATCAAATCTTGTCACAATATGAACAAGGATCTTGACAGAATGGTTGTTTTTTGCATAAGTTTGCTTCGAAACTTACCTTAATTCCTGAAGAAGAACATAATTATTCTGAGTAGATTAAGTTGATTAAAGGACTGATATGAATAGGTCTCACTTTAATTATCTATCTCAAAAGTTTTCCTTATCCAAACTGAACTAGGCTTATTACCACATTTACATGTGGCTATCTGGCGTACCCGAAACTGCACCAAACATGATCAAGTCTTTTATCATGATTAACCGGCAGCGGGAACTTACTCTTGACTGATCCAATGTAGGATAAAGAAGGGCGGAGTCTGAAAAATATTGAATTGTCTTACTCACGAACGTAGAAAATAATAAAAAGTAAAAACATTATCAAGCCTAGGCCATACTAAATGGGTTAAATATTATCAGTTTACTTAAAATATTAATAATATAACACTATATATATTTGGTTAATATGATTGAGATGAAGAAGATGGATAGATTCGTAGGCAAATATCACCGGAAGACGTCGGCTAATTCGCGTTGTGCTGCGGCCGTTTGTCCTTAATACGACGTTCCAGTTAATGTTCGTCATGCCACATGAGCTGGGACTGATTCTTGCAGAAGCCTCAAGTTAACACTAAGTCAAGAAGACTAACCAGCTCTTTTCTATACCATCTATAGACCCAAGATATAGATGGATATAGAAATGTTTGGTTAATTCACGTATGCTCGACTGCGTCTGTGTGTGTGTGTGTGTGTGCTAACGTCTTTACACAAAATTGGTAATAGCTCAGAGTAATTAAAAAAAAGCTTAACATCATCCTCGGGTTATCAGAGCTTGATAATCCAGGGAAAAAAGGAAAAAATGATGGCCAAGATTGCATTAGTATTTAAGTAATCCTGGTTACATTGAAGAGGCGTAAGTTCGTTCACTTGGAGGTCAGGCTACGAAGCTTGGCTGGGATCGTCTATTTTTGCCGATCAGCTTTGCATGTCTGTTGAACGGGTGTTCATTTGAGTAGAAGCATCACTCAGTTGACATGTTGAGTCATCTTCTTTTGAACGGCGACTCTACTGCCTCTCTCACTTTCAATCATTCCATCGAGCTTAAGTAGTTCTTACTCAACTTTCTACCACCATTTCTCACATTCAACGTATTCCCTAATCTATTAATTTCAATAGCCTCTTTTATCTTGCGTTTCGTAGCATACATAACATAATCAGTAAGCATCTGAGTACGAGACCATTCTATATTTTTTTTAATAAAACCTTAATCATGATAGTAGTTCCTATTTCTCTTTGAAAGATAGTATAACCGAAGAAAGTTTCAGAGTTTCTTTATAAACTGTCTTTATCCCCCCCTTTGTTACTAGTTATCCTATCTTTTTGGAAAGAAAACATCACGGCAAGATTAGAACACGAGAAAGGGTCTCGACTTGCCTTTTTCTGACCAAATATTCCCTGCCTAAAAATTAAAGATATATTATTGTCAACTAAGCCAAAATGCTAATAATTCTCCGGGAATAAAGCATTCAGTCTTCTTAAATCTTTAGTCAAAAGATTTTCTCCCAATAATCATATAATGTAAAATTTACACCGTAGTTTTTTAGTTATTATTATAAAGATAATTAAGCATAAAACCAGAATATGCTGGTTCTTCATAAACATATCTGCCCAACTTGCCAGCTTCCTTAACAACCATAGAGTCCAATTTCCTACTTTCTTCTAATTTCATTGTGAATTTGATGTTTCTCTCACGCTGGTTACGTGAAAATGGAAAGCTATCTAGACTATCTTTACGATATTGCCAGATTACACAACAATCATGCATTAAGTTATTCGCCTAAACTGGAGCTGAGCAAGAACCCATTTTAATTCCTTGTGTTTGTCCATAAAACTTACTGTCAAAAGTAAAATGTGTACCAATCATGAACTAAATTTCCTCATAACTATCTGAAATATCCTCCTGATTTGGCAAGTGAGCCTGAATGGCTCCTTGAACTTTAACATTTGAGTACATTGATACCACGTAAAAACTTACTAATGTATCTCTTCTGAAATATCCTGCCGGTCCACTAGTTTGGCAAATTTATTAGAGTTTCTACCGAAAATAACCAAAATGCTGTCACTTTTCACTATTGTCTGCATATAAAAGGTGAGATTCTATGCATAACACTAGTCTTATTTTTAAGAATGAATCTAAGCGGAAACCCTCCTTTATACACCTTTGCAAGGCCATAAACAGAAGGTGCCCTAGCAACTCTTTGGAGTAGGGAATTTATTTTTCATTTCTCCATTTCCCTACTACTTGCGCATGCCCTCAAAGTATCTCTGTAGGATGATAGAGAGAAGGAAAATAGAGATATTCAGGATAGGATCTCTGATATTATACCAATTTCGCTGACACTAAATTACATGAGTCGGAGCAATGAGAGACATATTCATCAGATTCTCCATGATATCACGTAGGAAATTTCATTTCAAAGCATTTGTCAAGAGATATTAAGAGAAATTGAGTTTCAAAGAATTCCTTAGTAACATATTGTGACATGACTTTCTATTTCGAAGGAAAAGTTGGTTGGGAAGAATTCGTGAAATGGTACCAACGGAAACTTGAGGAGGAATGTCGCCGAGTAAAGACTGTTGAGACTAAATAAGTTAACCAAACAGCCAACATCATGAATAGGAGGAAAGAGTGTAGAACATTAACTAAAAACTCTTTGTGGCTATCAGATAGGGTTGAGAAGAAGGAAAAAGAGGGAGAGAAGATGAGCGACTGGGCAAGAGAAAGAGCTTGGTTTAGATCCAAGTCTTTCTAGGACCATTACATGCACAAAATACCCTAACATGATTCAGCATTAGAGCATCATAACCCAAAGTGTGTTTGTAAGAAAACGCGTAGCACCGAATCCACTTCCGGTTCGTGAAGTAACTTCATCTTTCTGAAATCATGTAAAGTAAGTTTGAGGTTGCCAAATAAATAAATAAGATAGCAAAGTCATGCGTATAAAAAAAGTAACTAAATTTGCATTCGGCCACCTTTTCTCTTGGTTTAGTCTATTTTTGCCTTATTTCGTAAAGAATGGATTGTTGCCTTGATAATGGTGATACAGACGAAAACTTAGCGCAAGTTCATCTGGGTGGCAGAACGATGATCTGAGGACTTCTTTGCACGACACAACAGTTTATCTTACGCGGAGATCCTCCTTTGATTTCTGGTGAGACCACATTAAGAATTCCTTCCAAGCAAAGTTTCTTTCGAAATGGAAAGTCACGTCACAATCGGCATGAGAATTTGCTTGCGTTTTGGCCTTAAGAAGTGTTTGCAGGCAAATGACAGTGGTTCATGTGTCTTTATATTATAATAATATATTAATAATTCTCTCTCTCTCTTTATATATATATATATATATGTGTGTGTGTGAGTGTGACAGTGGTTCATGTGTCTGTATATAATAAT